TGTCATGGAGCCTTGGTTGAAGTGAGGGGAGACACACATGACTGCCAGGTGATGCTCACCTCTCTGAACAAACATAAAGTCAGAGCAGGGTATTCTAGTCGGGATGGACAGCTCAAGGAAAGCCTTGCTTACTCAGGTGTCCTTGGAACTGGGACCTTAGGAGAGAGAGGAGTTGTATGGCGTGGTCTGGCAGAGAGACTAATAACTGCAAAGGCCCTGTGGTGGGAGCAGCTCAGGGAAAGCATGAAGGCCGCAGTGGCTATGGGTAGTGAGCAAGGAGGGGGCCATGTGGTAGATGAAGTCAAATGGGTCACGAAGAGCTTTGTACACTATGATGCCTCCTTTGGCTTTGAATGTGTGGGCAGGAAGCAAGTTGCAGAGGTCTGACAGTGATTTACCTTGCACTCTGTCTACACCCGCTGCCACTGAGTCCATTCCAACTCATAGTAACACTAGAGGACTGAGTAGAACTGCTCCTTGGACACAGTTTCCTTACACCTTGGAAACCCTATATAGGTTCACTATGGGTAGAAGCTGACTCGAGGACACTTAGCAACAATTACAAATTTGATCTAAGCACTCCTGGTGTGGCACTGTGGGTTAATGTGCTGGACTGCAAATTTGGTTTGAACTGCAAGGTCAGCAGTTCAAGCTCACCAGCCACTCTTCAGAAATGATTCAGGGTCACTGTGGGTTGGAACTGGCTCAATGGCACTTATCAACAATAACAACAATGTCATGTGATGGCTGGTGTCCTGGTGTGGTGCTGTGGGATAAATCACTGGACCACAGGTCAGTTTGAATCTCAAGGTTGGCGGTTCAAACTCGCCTTGGAAACCGTATACAGGGTTACTATGGTTCAGAACCAACTTGGTAGCACTTAACAACAACAATGTGATGGTTGGATCTTTGGTTGCCTTGACAGGTTCAGAGAAAATGATTTTGCGGGCCTTATCTGGCCCGAAAGGAGCTCTGGTAGCATAGTGGTTATGAGTCAGGCTTCAGATCGCAAGGTCAGCAGTTCAAAACTACCAGATGCTCTATGGGAGAAGGATGAGGCTTTCTACTCCCGTAAAGATTTATAGCCTTGTAAACCCTGTACAGGGTCGCTGTGAGTCGGAATCAACTCCACGGCACTTAACAACAACAACAAAAATCCAGCCCGAGGGCCATACATTCCCCAGCCCTAACTTTAAAGGTACCTCATTAATAGCTTCCCAAAGAGAATAAAGGGTAGTGTTGGTGATGCTGTGGGTTAGGCATTGGGTGGATAACTGTGAAGTTGGTAGTTCAACTCTGCCAGCCACTGTGTAGAAGAAAGATGAGTCAGTTTGCTCCCATAAAGATTTACAATCTCAGTGGCCAAATTGACCCAGTGGCAGAGGGTTTGGGCATTTTATTTTGCTTTGCTACACAGTATCAGCAAGGAAGACATAGTGAGAATTAATGATACATGAAGCTGTGAATCACATTCTGATAAGAGTCCTGATCTGGCGCTATAGAATAAGTGCTGGACCATAAGGTCAGTTTGAATTGCAGGGTTGGAGGTTCAAACTCAACAGTTGCTGCTTGGAAACTCTATACAGTGTCACGATGAGTTGGAACTTACTTGATGGCACTTCACAACAGCAGTGAGGTAAACTTAACTCAGTGTCACAGTGGTTTGGGGTGTTGCGTTCTGCTATTCAATATCAGACAAGGAAAATACATATATTAAGGAAAAATGACAGATGAAGCCAGGGGACACATATTGGTTGAGAAAATGTAGTCATTCCCCTACCTCCACCCCAGATCCTGATAACAGGAAATCATTTCGCTGTAGGATCAGTACTGGACTGTGGACCACAACGTCAGCAGTTCAGACTCACCAGTTGTTCCTCGGAAACCCTTCACAGGGTCGCTATGAGTCGGAATTGACTTGTTGGAATTTAGCAAGTGTAGAGTGACATAACACGTGACAGTTTCTACGACAAACATTTTTTGTGTAGGACACAAGAAATCTTCGTGAAATTCGTGAGGGTTTTGTTTTTAAAACATTACTTACTCATTGCAAGGTTATTTTTCTCTCTGTCTGCTCCATACTGTTGCATATACAATATTTAATTAGATGATTCATTAAATATATGAATGTTTTCCCCGAGTGTTGAATATAACTTATTAAATTTTAATTTTAAATGGCAGCGTAATAACCTCTTTTGGAGTCACCCTGCTTAGACTGGCTGTGACTGCAGACATTTATGTATGTTGCCAATGCAGCCGGAGGTGCACGCAGACACGAAATGATTGAAACGCTTTTCTTGCCGCTCTCCTCCACCCACCAGCAGCCCAGGTAGAACTTAGCGCTTTATCTTGCCTTTGGCTCTCTGCCTGGTGATCTGCACATGGGCAGTACTCTGAAAATGCTAAGTGAGGAACATTTTCCTGTCTCAAATGGAAACAGCTTTGTCTATCAGGAGCTGCGTTCTTTGGCCCTCCCTTAACCTGTCTGGGTCTTAGTGTCCTTGTCTGACATCTGAATGACTTTCACTCAATGTCAATGGTTTCTCAAGCCCAGGCCAGGATTGTTGTTACTGTTAAGTGCCACTTACGGAGTTCCAACTCATTGCGACCCTGTATAGGGCTTCCCAAGGGGCTCTGGCAGTGTAGTGGTTACGAATCGGGCTGCTAACCTCAGGGTCAGCAGTTTGAAACTACCAGCAGTTCTGCGGGAGAAAAATGAGGCTTTCTGCTCCTGTAAAGATTTACAGCCTTGTAAAACCCTGTACAGGGTCGCTATGAGTCGGAACCGACTCCACGGCACATAGCTACAACAGCAACAACAATTTGATAAATTCCTACACCTCTCATTGTACCTCCTCACGTCAAATCCATCTCCACCTCTGTTGATGCTGCCCAACTTACCTTAACGTCATTACCTTAACGTCACGTGGCATCTGATGTCAGCAGTAATATCCCTTGTTTCTTGTCAGATCAAAACATGATCAAATTAAGGTGCTTTATTTGATGATATCTAAGACCTGGTGGTGTGCTGGAAGATAAGCACTGGAACACAGGTTGGTTCGAACTACAAGGTCAGCAGTTCAAATCCACCAATTGCTTGTCAGAAATCCTATACAGGGTCACTATGCATTGGAATCAACTCAATGGCACTTAAAAACAACAACAAATATACTAAATTCTAATTCCTTAATCTATATTTGGGTAAAGAAAGTTAAAAAAATTTTTTTTTTAGTGAGACTTAACCAGTTGCTGGAGTTATGGTGTATTAACAAAGACTTTAGAAGTAATGATACCAGGAATTGTTGTTGTTAAATGCTGTTGAGTCAGATCGGACTCATAGTGACTTGTATAGGGTTTCCTAGACGTGGCTTGTGAGCTTGAACCACCAACCTTGCAGTTCAAACTGACTTTGTATTTGCACGCAGCACCACAGCAGGGATTGCTGTTGCTGTGTGTGCCATCGAGTTGGTTTCGACCTATAGTGACCCTGTGTAAGGTTACTGAGGAGTAGGTGGTGAGTTTGAACTGCCGACCTTGCAGTTCAAACAGACTTTGCAGTCTAGCGCATTAGCCCATAGTGCCACACCCGTGATTAGAGAGGTTAGAAACCTTGCCTAGGCTGAGTACTTATAAACTCTGGACTGCGAACAAGCTATTGTTGTTGTTGTTATTATGTGCCGAGAAGTTAGTTCCGACTCATAGCGACTCTGTACAGGGTTTCCGAGGCTGTAAATCTTTACAGGAGCAGAAAGCCTCATCTTTCTCCCGCGGAACAGCTGGTAGTTTCGAACTGCTGACCTGGCGGTTCACAGCCCAATTCGTAACCACTACGCTACCAGAGTTCCTTGTGAACAAGCTATAGTGACTGGGAAAATAGTTTCATCTGTTTTAATTTTACATAGGTGGTGGCGAGTGCATTTTTGAGCAAGGGTTGGTGTGATAAAAGGGTTGATGTGATTATGCTGAAAACCTAATGGTGTTCCTTGAGGATAGGAATCCTATCTAACTGGTGTCTTTTCCTTCAGCGTTGAAAATAGCATTTAGTGAATGGTGGTTACACAAATAATGTTGACTGAGTGAGGGAGTGAATCAATGATGATGATGAATAGGGCTTGAAAATAGAGACGAAAAGAGCTGCTAGTGCTAAGAATCCTATACTAATTTGGACATACGGATGAGAAGACTTGGAAGTAGAATGGTGGCAATGGGAAAGGGTAGACACAAAGGATGTCAAAGAGGAAAACTTGACTGGATCAAGAAATAAATCAGGCCTGGGGAAGATCTTTTGGTGCCAGGGCTTTGGGACCTTAGCACTTGTTATGATGATTCAATACCGTTCTCAGAAATAAGTGGTCACGTTGCTGCCAAGCATCTGTTACCAAAAGCAGCAATAGAAGAAGCCTACAAAGCATAGAAAAGAAAGGGAATGCAGTCCCACCTGGATAAGTTGTGTAGCTGAGTGTATTTATTTGCATTTGATTCACGTTAGGACAAAAATGCAGTGAAGGGGAGGTGGTGGAGAAAACACAGGATACGTGTGTGTCATGTAGTACAGGTAAATTGTGAGATATAATTGTTAACAGTGACTTTTTTTTATAACCTACTATCTGCTTCTTTTTTTTCTTTTCTGTCTTTCAGTTAAGATGTCAACCAAAGCTCCTGCCGAGGGCATTATTGATCTGGGTATCTCCTACTCACTTGTGGGGATCTTGAAGCATGGAAAAGTACAGATCATTGCCAACTACCAATGCAACCGCATCACTCCAAGCTATGGAACAATGATAAAGAGTGACTACCCCATCAGTGAAACTGCTAAGAACCAAGAAGCCATGAGTACCAAATTTGCTGCTAAGAGACTGTTCAGTCTCACATTTGGTCATGCCTCATTTGTGACAGACATGATTCCCTCATCTTTGCCAGTGGTTTTTGAAGGGGGGAAGCCCAAAATAATGGTAGAATATTAAGGCCATATATTTTTTGTCTCAGAAAAGTGTGCTTTCATGGTTTTAAGTCATATGAAGGAGTTAGCTGAAGCTTATTTGGGGAAGAAAGCAGAAAATGCAGCAATTAGTGGTCTAGTTTGCTTTGGTGATTCAGAGAGTCAGGTCAACAGGGACGCAGGAGCCATAGCTGGCTTTAATATCGTGAGAACCATGTATGAGTCCGCTGCTGCAGCCATGATCTATGACCTTGACAGAAAAGAGAAATACATGCTGTTCTTTGATGTGGTTGATTGTCCCTTGGATGTGTCTATCCTGAATAGCCAGGATGTAAGAGTCACATCTGGTGACATCCAGGTGGCTGGAGAAGATTTGGACAGTCACAGCCTCAGCCACCTAACAGAAGAGTTCTGAAATGATCACAAGAACTATATAGCCTTTAAGGTAAAGTGCATTCTCCAGATTACCTGTGAGAAGGCAAAGTGTAGCTTGCTTTTCTTGGCTTCTGCCTGCGTTGAAATTGATCCACTCTCTGATGGTGTGAATTTTTACCTTTACGTCTCCCTGAGAAGCTCACTGCTACTTTCTTACGTGGTGCCCTTGTGCTGATAGAGAAAGCTCTGAAGTGTACCAAGCTTCACAAGGGTCAGATTAATGATATACTGCTTGCGGTTGGTTGCTTTTATATCCCCAAAGTCCAGAAGTTGCTGAGTGATTTATTTAACGGAAATTAGCTCAACAAGCCCATCATCCCTGGTGAGGCAGTGGCCTCTAATGTAAAGGAGCTCTGGTAGCGCAGTGGTTACGAATTGGGCTGCGAGCCCCAAGGTCAGCAGTTTGAAACTACCAGCTGTTCTGTGGGAGAAAGATGAGGCGTTCTGCTCCCGTAAAGATTTACAGCCTCGGAAACCCTGTACAGGGTCGCTATGAGTCAGAACCCACTCCACGGCACACAACAACAACAACAATGCAACTATGCGAGGAGCTCTTCACATTGGTGGCAGCTCTCAAAGTCTGCGAGGTTGTTTCCTCTTTCTGGGCATTGGAATGAAAGGGGGGATTATGACCCCCATGCTCAAGACAAATATTCATACCATCCAAGTCTGGAAGTTGAGAGCTCAGGTTAACTACCAGAGCCCTACCTTCATGACATTGTGTGAGGGTGAAAGGGCTAAAAGCAACAAAGTCATGGGTAGTTTTCATCTTGCTGAGATCCCTCTAGCTTACCATGGAGGCCCCCAGATTCAGGTAGCCTGTAACATAGATAGCTGTGGCATCCTTGATGTAGTTATCATAGACAAAAGTACTGGTAGGAAGAGCCAGTTTATCATCACTAGTGTCAGAGGCTGTCTCTGTAGAAATGAGACTGACCAGATAGTGAAAGCCATCAATAGAGAGGTGGTAGGAGCTAGAAAGACTATGCAATCCTATACCTTTCCTTTCCAGCTATCAGCTGAAAGTCATCTGCTAGGCACGTTGAGTAGAAAAGATAAAAGGCAGCTTCTGAAAGAGTGCAAGAAACTCTTAAACTGACTCAAGTGTAACCAATCTGATTGTGAGCAAGCTTTACCAAGCAGTAGGAGCTGGCTGCCCAGGCTCACGTAGCTCACAGTAACCTAGGTCTGATACTAATGAAGTGAGCTAAATGGTCTCTTTTTGAAAAATCTTTCCAGTTCTGTATTCCATTGATACAGTTTCTACTTAACTATTTCATTCTTAGTCTGCAGTGTTAACCCATAAAGGGGGGTGGGGGGGCAAACTTAGTTTAATGCTAAGTTTTGTATGTTTAGTCAGCACTTTAATATTAATGTTCTCTTGACATATATATCTTGGATTTATGAACTTGAACACATTGTTTCGTACCTGAAGATGTGTACAGAGACCTGTTTGGGAACTAGCAGTTATAAAATATTCAAGCACTTAACTTTGGTGTCATTCCTTCTATAGCAATTACTTGTGCACAACTACAGGACTCTCAGCCTGACATTTCTATGAACTTTTTTATGCACTTTTTGTTTTTATCTATCTGTGGAGTCCTGTTATGGCGCTATAGGTTAAGCGTTTCAAACTCACTAGTCGTTCCTTGGAACCCCTATAATGGGTCATTTTGGGTTGAAACCAACTTGATGGCACTTAACAAGAAGTACAGTAGCAGAGTCCTGGTGTGGCATTATAGGATAAGCACTGGACTGGTAGCCACAAGTTTAATGGTTCAGACCCACCAGCCACTCCTTGGAGACAGCACTTAACAACAACAGTAGTACAGTAATAGAGTCCTGAGGTGGTACTGTAGGATAAGCACTGGAATACTAACTTGAAAGATCCTGGATTCAAACTCACTAGCTGCTCCTCAGAAACCCTATATAGGGTCACTGAGTCAGAAGGGACTTGAGGACTCTTAATAACAATGACTACAGTAACTTACCAGTTTTTGTCCCATTTCTGTGTACTTCAAAAATCTGCATAACCCCCAAGATACTAGGGGGCTCCAACGTGTTCATAGAAAAGGGAATTAAAAGATTATGGACTCTTCTCACAAACTTTTTGTACCCCCCTTGTATATATGTACTGGTTGAAAACCCTGCTCAATCAGATCAGAGAAGGCCTTTAAAAAGTCTTCAGAATTCCCCTGGATTCAGTTTGTGGTAGATTAATTTCATTGACTCACCTCCAAGCTGAGAAAAGTTCTAATTGGAAAAATATCATAGCATATGATTTACTTTAAACACCCATCCACCAAAAGGAAAATGAACACATGAAATGCCTAGCAACAGAGAAACAGTCACATTAATCATTGTCTCTGCTAGAGAGGTCCCGGTGTGGCGCTGTAGGATACACAGTGGACTGTTAAATGGAAGGTTGGTGGTTCAAACTCACCAGCTGCTCCTTGGAAACCTTATACAGTTGCTATGAGTCAGTACTGATGCGACGGCACTTAAGAACCACAACAACAAGAGAGAAGACTATATGGTCATTAAAAAATTACAGGTATAGAATCCAGGTTACCACAGGAGCCAGCAAACTGGTCCTTTGGGGCCAAAATCAGCCTACTGCCAGTTTTTCTAAATAAAGTTACAGTGGAACATAGCTACTCCCATTCCCTTTTCATCTATGAATAGTTCAGTGCTACAATGGTTCAGTTGAGTCGTCATGACACAGACAAAAACATTTCCTCTTTAAGAGCCCCTCGGTGGTGCAAATGCTTAAGCACTGGGTTAATAAATGAAAGGTGGAAGTTTGAACACTGCACTTCAGAGGAAAAGACTGGTGTTGTTTCTGAAAGGTTACAGCTCCTATGGAGCAATAGTGTTCTGCACACATGGAATTGCCAAGACGCCGAATGAATATGACAGCAACTAACAGTAAGGACTTTTGGTGTGGCGTTGCTGGTTAATGCGGTAAACTACAACGTCCGTTTGGGCCATTAAGGCCAGCAGTTCTAACTCACCTGTTGCTCCTTGGAAACCCTGTACAGGGTCGCTATGAGTCGGGTCCCGACTCGATGGCACTTAGCAACAATAAACAACAAGAAATGACCCTTGACAAAATGAAATTGCCAAGTCCTGAAGAAGAAGATTATTTTAGGGAAAGAAAGGTGAAGCCCCAAACTGCATGCGCAATGATTATAACTAGGATGTCTCATGCGTGTACACTGAGAGATGTGTTTGTTGACAGGCAACACAAAGCTAAATAGAACATCAATTCATATGGTTGAGTGAGAGAGGTGACACTTGGCTCTTTGTCTTTCCAATTTGTTTTATTTTTCCAGCTTTCAATGAAGAAACCAACGTTTTTAAACTTGAGTGAGTCTGTTTAGGCCTGGGTGTCACGGCACAGGAGATGCCTGTGGGAAAAGTGCAGAGCCAGTGGAGCCACCTCTACACACTCTTCAGGGAGGAAGTCCTCACAGGGACCAGGCCCCAGGCCCCTTGTCTGCTTTCCCTGAGGTTATGAGCAGTTAAGAACTGATGTCAGAAAAAGCGTGCTCTGCACTGGCACTCACTACTATTCTGAGAACCCGCTGCTGCTGATACAAGTTGCTAAGTGGTGTCAAGTCAGTTCTGACTCATAGCGACCCTGTATAGGGTTTCCAAGGAACAGCTGGTGGGTTTGAACCACCAACCTTACAGTTCAAACCTACCTTAAAGTCAAGCGCTTATCCTAGGGCACCACACCAGGACAGAGGAGTGAGAATGTATTGGGCTCTACATTCCATTAAAGGGGCCCCAGTAGTTAAGAGCTTCCTGCTAACAGAAAGGTTTGCGGTTGGACTCTAGCAGCCACTCCATGGGAAGAAGCTGTGACAGCCAGCTTCCATGAGATGACAGCCTTGAAAACCTTATGGGACAGTCCTACTCTGTCGTACAGGGTCCTATGAGTTGACTTATGGAGTCACTATGAGTGGGAGCAACTCACGGGCATTTGGTTGGGTTTGATTTAGATACTCCACTGGCATTTTTATAAGTGGTGCTTGTTCTCAAAGCATCTCAAGGCTTAAGCCTGTCTTTACATTGGAGAAGGCAAATTTGTGGTGAGGGGGGTTGTCTGGTGATCTTTAGATAGGGTGGACCAAAAGCAAATCAACACAGGAATTACTCCCAACAACATGTACAACATGTAGCTTCCCTAGTGCCAAGAGGCAGGGTACTAGAGTTGGGAGACTTCAAAGGCTCTAGTTCCTAGGCCTCAGTTTCCCTACCTGAGAAAAGAAGGGCTGACTCAGCTGACTGCTTTTCAACCGTGGCTGATCATTTGAGTGATTCAATGTGAATCACATGGCATTGAGGGACTGGGGAGTCTTGTATTGCCTAAAATTCATCTGGATGGTTCTGATGTGCATCCAGAGCTAAAGGATCTCTTCATTTCCTTCTAATTGTGCTACAAAATTGTGTGTGTGTGTGTGTGTGTGTGTGTGTGTGTGTGTGATACGACAGGGTTTTAAAAATTCATGAAGGAATGAAATGATAATGGAATTTTTTAAGAAACTTAAAAAAATTCCCTCATACATACATATTGTAATGGATTGAACTGTCCTCCACCCAAAAATCTCTGTGTGTGTGTATACGTGTGTTGGAATTCCTGTGAATGTGATGCCATTTGATGGTAAGGATTTCTTTATTATTACCGTGCAGTGGCTTATGTCTATGCCTTTTTTAGCAATAGCTTTTGTAACTCACACCAAACAGTGGTTTTGCTCTCCTGGGTCTAGTAGGTAAGAGAAGGCAGGAGAAGTCGCTGATAAGAATTTATGACTCAGTTGTGAACGGTTAACAAAGTTAACTGTGATTGTCAAAATTTGGCACTCCACTGAACATGGAAGTTGTGACTACCATCAAAGAAGAGCCAGGAGTGGAGCACAGCCTCTGGACCCAGGGGTACCTGCGCATTGAGCCTCCTTGACCCAGGGACAGAAA